AACGGGAGGACGTTTCAGCTCTCGACAGATTTAACGTGCATCGCTGCCCTACACGGCGGGTCTTTAGTGGTACTGGGCTCGAACCCGTGACAAAGCAAGCCACGGTCTGATACCTATACCACTCGGCTACCGCGGCCTGAACACCCACGGGAGGGCAAGGATTATCACAAGGGAATGTGCGAAAAATTCAACAAAAATGTAATTACACAACATAATTCAATCAAATGAAAATACTTATTACTTATCAAAGTTTATGAACCATAATATTTCATTTTATCTATTTAACTCTTTTGAACTTCGGCATGAATTTTTTTTAAAAAACTAAAAACCACACAGTTGTTTCGGAAATCGGTGAAGCCACTGAAACGGTGCCAAATTTAGATGGTTTTCAAAGAAAGGCACAGAAACAGAAAGTTTGGAAAGGATTGGTTAAGACCATGAAAACCATGAAATAAACATACGTTCTGGGTAGAAAAAAATGTATCTGTGTTCTATATAACAGGTGGTTTCTATTTGAGAACTTTCTCAAATTTATATCCAACTTGGCGAGTTAAAAAATGTAAAATTTTTCTATGTTCTGTAATGGTTGGTTTCTATTTGAGAACCTTCACTTATTTATCGCCAGCTTGACGAGTTAAAAATAGCTTTAAACCCTTTGGTTGAGCTCGATTCTCTGGAGTAAGTGCGTAAGTAAGAGTTAAAAAATGAAACATTTATCAGTGTTCTGTAATGGTTGGTTTCTATCTGAGAACCTTCACGTATTTGTTGCCAACATAGTGAGTTAAAAATATATATATAACTTATATGAGGGTTGGTTTCTATTTGAGAACCTTCACGTGTTTAACGCCAACTTGGCGAGTTAAATAATGTATTCTTGCTCTTATAGTAATTAGACTCAAAAGTCTAATCCACTGTTGGCGTCATTTTTTTTCTGTTATCGCCAAGAGGAGAATTAAGTTAGGATTTCATTTGTAATATGAAGAAGATATCTACAAAGGGCTTTTGGGTCGTGGGTAGCCTAGTGGCTAGAGCATCGGTCTCCAGGCCGGAAGGCATGGGTTCGATGCCCGACGTCACCAAATATGTGACGAATCTGTACGGAATCTTTGACTAATATTCTTAGGTGTCTTTTTGGGGATTATAAATTCGCGTATATTTTCAATCAACTCCGAGAAGCGAACGGGATATGTAAAGCAGATAGGGTATTTAAGTAGAGCGTTGTACAGCAAAATGGAAGGCTATTGAGCCAGCAGCAGCGGAGACGATCTTTAGAGGATTACGATAGTGAAGAGTTACTGCTAGTATTCTACGAATGAAGCTTATAAGTTAATGTACCTCTGAAGACATCGGAGTATCAACAGGTGATATACTATAGTTCATTATTGCTTAAAACTAGCGTTAGTTTAATAAAACTAGTCTAAGTTAATGAAAGCTAATAATTCGAGCTGCGTGTATTTCTCAGACCTCTAATTTCGGCAGACCTTATTGATCTTACGCATAATTATCGATTAATTTCATAATTCGTAATTTAATTTAATATTAAAGGTAAATCCCTTTTGTTTGACGTAACAATAGTATTATATGTCATTAGAGTTTCTCATATTGGAATCAAGTTAATAAATATAAGTTATTATTATACAAATGGCTCTTAGTGACTCTTTGCCTCAAATTAATCTGGGTGTCCAAGGTAGAACCCAGGAGGGTTCTCATAAATACCCTCCGAGTACAAACGGAGAACGTGTCGTTAAATCAATGGGTCTGAAAGTTTTGTGGGTAGTCACAGCTGAAACCACAAGTTCAAGGGACTGGAGAATATTTCCCTCCCCTTCAGTTCCATGCCTAAATTGTGGAGGAGGAGATCGGTGGTGTTGCTATCTATCGTTAAGATCTATCGTCCCTTTGGGAATTTCACCGAGCTAAATTGTACTGTCAAGGCTAAGGCCAACGACTGGCGTACATGTAGCCCCTTGCCACGATGAATTTCCTGGGCCTCGATGTGTCTCTGTCAGACAGGTGGCATAAGCAACAACAACAACACAAAGGGCTAAAAAATGCACCATTTGAACCTTAAAATAATTAGCCATTTTCTTTTCTAGCTTTCGTGGACTGTACTGTATCACTGATGTCTCCTGGATCTGTAGATTGCTATACAGGCACGACGCGTTCATCCCCGAGGTGTTACGTGAGTTGCCAACCCTTTGAAGACCAGAAGGCGACTCCTAGAAGACCTTACGAATGTAAAATAACCGGGAAATGGAACAGACCATTGCCTTTCTGCGTTGCTAGTGGCTCAGGTAATACAATTGTTTCTAGGTTACAGCAAATTCAATTACTATGCAATTTAAAAATCAGAAGGGAAAAAAATAAATAGTGTATATGAGAGAAAACAATCTCACAATGGTCGGAACAAGCGTATCAATTTTGAGTTTCTTGGAAAGAGATATTACTTTTTCACACACACACAGTTTCGATCATTCGAATGATATGGGCGATCCGATTTCTCATTCGAGAATACAAAACTCCCCCTACATTTGAGAAAAAGTTATTTCAGTTATTGGACATGATCAGGCTATAAAGATGACATTGGTTGTCAAAAAATGTTATGTGTGAGTCTTTCAGAAATAAGAATAATAATTATAAAGGGTGTTTTTTTAGAGGTGTAGAACTTTAAATTGCAATAAAACAACGATGTATTATTCGATTGACATGAATTTTTTTTTATTCGAAAGATAATCTTGTGGCATTACATTTTAAATATGATTTCTGGCATAGGACTGCCACGGCTGGCTCAGATGTAGTCCAATCTGGACGTCCAATTTTCGATGACTTTTTCCAACATTTGTGGCCGTATATCGGCAATAACACGGCGAATGTTGTCTTCCAAATGGTCAAGTGTTTGTGGCTTATCCACATAGACCCATGACTTTACATAGCCAAACAGAAAATAGTCTAGAGGTGTTAAATCACAAGATCTTGGAGGCCAATTCACAGGTTCCAAACGTGAAATTAGGCGGTCACCCAACGTGTCTTTCAATAAATAGATTATGGCACGAGCTGTGTGACATGTTGCGCCGTCTTGTTGGAACCACAGCTCCTGGACATCATGATTGTTCAATTCAGGAATGAAAAAGTTAGTAATCATGGCTCTATACCGATCACCATTGACTGTAACGTTGTGGCCTTCATCGTTTTTGAAGAAGGATTCCACCAGCCCATAAAGCGCACCAAACAGTCAGTTTTTCTGGATGTAACAGTGTTTCGACATACACTTGTGGATTAGCTTCACTCCAAATGCGGCAGTTCTGTTTGTTGACGTAGCCATTCAACCAGAAGTGCGCTTCATCGCTAAACAAAATTCGCTTATGAAAATCGGGAACAACGGCAATTTCGTTTTGGGCCCATTCGACGAATCTACGCCTTGCTTGATCATATTTAAAATGTAATGCCACAAGATTATCTTTCGAATAAAAAAATTCATGTCAATCGAATAATACATCGTTGTTTTATTGCAATTTAAAGTTCTATACCTCTAAAAAAACACCCTTTAAAAAGACAGCTTCTAAAAAAAACTTTCAGGTTTTATTCTCTAGAAACAGGAATATCTATATTTAAAACAGATATTAAAATACCTTGAAAACCAAATAGAGTCTTTTCCCGCGTCAAATATGTACATAAAGAGGATGCCAATAATTGCCTAATTTTTTAAAACAATTATAATATAGTTAAAGATTCTTTTTTTGGAGGGGGAGGAAGCTTTTATTGGGCCAGTTCTATTTACTGCTGTCCATAGAATCTGATTTAATCGAGTATTTAATTATCTGACCCTGTTAGTTGCCAGTATAGTGGTATCATCTATATAAACCAGTAACAGCCTTTGGGCAGAAGGGATCATTTTGGTCTAGTTGTATGTTACGTGCTTTTAGAACTGAAGGGTTGCGGATTCTATCTTCCACGGAAAAGCGCCGCTTCACCAATTCAAGAATCCTTGCTGCAATCATTTTTTTTTTAAAAAATTAGCGTTTACAGATTATGCGTTACAAAAAAAGTGAGGTAATTGAAAAGACTTGTTTTTAAAAAGAATGCTTGTGTAGAATCAAGGTTTAGAAAGGATGCTATGATATCCCCTTATAAATGGAAGAGTAAAAATAAGCAAATTATTACTCCAAAAATGGACTAAATTCATCACGATCACATGATAAATGCAATTAAGTGTCCTCCATCTAATTCAGACTTGCGTTCGATGTTCTATTTTTGCAAAATTTAAATAAAATTTCAGATCCGATTAAAGATGTTCGGGTATTACGATTCCTTAAAAAGTTTTACAAAATAAAAAACACCTTATATTATACGTATTTTTACTATTATGCCTGTAGTGATTTTTGTGCATTAATACTGTTTACAAAAATGTAATTTTTAAAAAAAAGTTTTTGCAAAAAGCAAAATGGCAACAGCGAAATGCATAAACTGATTGGCTGGAAACACAAGATCGCATTTAACATGTGAATATGAACTGATTGGCTGGAAACACGTGACTGCAGTTTACATGTGACTATGTCATCACATGATTTTAGCCGATATTTAAGTAATCTTTGAATAATTCAAAATGCACTTGATCTTTTAATTACAGATCAAAATCACTGGTTGAGATTTTCCCCCGGACTCTTTTTTTTTATTTGATTGTTTTTAATTTCGATACATATTGACCAATGACGAACTTAATGAAGCGGACAAGCACGTAGGATGCATTTTTCATTAAACTATCAAAATAAAAAACAAGTAATATATAAAAAAAATTAAAATCAATTCCTACTTAGGTCAACAAAGAAAATTTTAAAGTTTTTATTAAATAATTACAATTAATATAAATATGTATATATATATGACAGAATCACAATATTAAGTGGCAAAATAGAAACCGATTTTCCTTTCTATATACGGTACTGGATTATTGTTATTGATTCTATTTATTCATTGATAAATCACATTCTCAGAAACTAGGCCATCCCAGGTAGGATTCGAACCCACTTCCTTTGGTTTAAAAGTCCAACGCGCTATCCATTGCGCTACAGGGACACAATGAGTAATTTGCATTTTTATATAGAGTGTTAGACTCGTATTTTTGTTACTTTTTATTCATTTTAACTAATAAAGTAATTTTTAAAACAACTGTATTAACATGAAGTGGCCTCTATTACAAGTTTAAAAAATGTATTTGAACTTGTACGGATGAATAGAAAGTATTTTATTAACGATAGAAAATTTGAACAAGATTTATATATGTATATACACTGCTGGACAATTGCTAAGGTCGGATAACACTATCATCCATAGCAACCACAAAATGAAAGGAAGCAAAATGTGGAAAATTAGAATAAGTGCGGGATATTAGTAAGAAGAAGTATGAGTATGCAAATTTTTTTCCACGTCTGTTCATCACGTGATAGCGTTCATAAGAGCTTTAAAGGTTTTGACGCGTGTGGACAGTTGTTGTTTCAAGTCAAAGTTTTACAGGAAAGATTTAATAGACGAACTTAAAATTTTTAGCATGTCTTCCCGACATCACATAGATGATTTTATGCGTGGCCGAATTATTGGAAAGATCGAAGAAGGGCGAAAAATAACAGATGTTGCCAGGAGTTCGACATCGCTCACAGCGTTGTTTCACGGCTGTGGAAGTCATTTAAAACTACTGGAATGCGTAGTAGACGGCACGGGGGAGGTCGTGTTAGAAGTACGACGCCTGCAGAAGACAGATATATCGTCCTATCAGCAAAAGGAACAGGCGCACCACAGCTCAGCAGCTGGCAAATCAGTTTCTTGCTGCCTCAGGAAAGCAGATCTCCCGAAAAACTGTTGCCAGACGTTTGAGGGGAAGAGGACTATACGCACGCAGACCTGTTGTGTGTGTCCCATTGACCAGACAGCACCGTACTGCCCGTTTGCAATGGTGTCGTGAGCATCACAATTGGACTGAACAGGACTGGGCATGCGTACTATTCTCAGATGAGAGTAGGTTCAGTCTGTCATCGGATTGTAGACGCCAACTGATCTGGCGCGAGAGTGGTACTGCTTATCGTCCAGAAAATATCCAGGAAAAGGACCGATATCCGACTTGCAGTATCATGGTGTGGGCCGGCATCTTGATCAATGGCCGCACGCGCCTACATGTGGTTGCGAATGGGACTATGACGGGCCAACGATACATTGATGAAGTTCTACTTCCTCATGTTCGTCTTTTCCGTGGTGCTGTCGGTGATAAATTTGTTTTTATGGACGACAACGCAACATGTCATCGAACACTCGCTGTTCAGGATTGTCTAGACAGCGAGGCATTCAACATCTCGTATGGCCAGCGCGTTCTCCAGATCTAAACCTCATTGAAAATGTGTGGGATGCTTTGGGGAGGCAAGTTGCTGGTCAGAAACTATCCTCCGACAAACAAGAACACCCTCATCCGTGCACTCACAGAGGAATGGGATAAATTGCCCCAACAGCTGCTGGATAATGTTGTGCAAAGTATGGTACGACGTGTGGAATGTTGCATCACACTCCACGGTGGACATATCCCGTACTAATACCTTTCTTTAAGGTGCCTGCTGACTTTTAGATGCATTGTTCCATTTTTTCCGTACGTAGATCAAATGAACATTTTTTTTTCTTTCAGATGTTTTACAGCTTTTGTACTTTCAGAACAATAAATATTCTTTATTCTAATGTCTGAACAGTGTGGCAACTATATTTTATCCTACTAGGCCTCATGTCTCGCTTAATGTTATGCTACATAGCAATTTGTGATCCGTCCTTAGCAATTGTCCAGCAGTGTATATATATATATATATATATATATATATATATATATATATATATATATATATATATATATATATATATAATAGAGAGAGAGAGAGAGATTTTTGTGTGTGAACTAAATAGTAGGAATAGAATGACCCGCTCTTTGATTTACATTGGAGGAATGCAATCAATATTTTGTCTAAAAAAGAGTTACATTTAAAGTTTCAAAAATTTTTGCTTCTGAATAATTATTCTAACTCTTTTTTAGGCTTAAAGCTAGCTCCAGCACCCAAGAATCTACAGTTGAACCAAGAACAGTTCAAGGATGATTATGATTACTTTATGTAAATAAATTAAGATAAAAAAAAGATAATAGTATGTGATAAATTTAAAAAACAGATTCAAATTTTGGATTGATTGTATTCAAATAAAGAGTTTGTTATATATTTTATCTTGATTTATTTAACAAAATATTGCAGAAGAGTTATTATTTATGTGTGTTATTACATACTATATGAAGACTCGAACGAGGTTAACAGAAATGATTAAAAATAAAAGATAACAGTAAAAACTTTTTTTTATTTTCATGAATATTTACAATCAAATACGTACATGTTTACAGCTTTCATAAAACAATGAATTCCATTACATATGCACCTTTTTTTATTCAAAAACTGCTATTTTTGCAAGATATATGTTATGGATTTATATTTGTTTCCTTTTGAAAACCCATCAGTTGTAATGTAATATTTCTAATCATAGCACTAAATAATAGTAACTTCATAGTTGAAAATAATATTACCAAATGTACACAATTAGTAACACTTCAAGCAAAATCACATTGCACTAATTTAATAATTTCTTAATATATCTCACTGAAAAATAAGTACAAAAAACATTTTAAATAATACTTATGAGATCTATAAACATAACATCTATAGTAAATAAAATTTATGTAAAATGTAAAAAACGTAAAGTCTATAATGAATAAAATTTACTACATAATGTAAGTAACACAAATATTTCACGAATAAAATTTAAATTATTCATAAACAACATAAATGCTTTTAATATAGAATAATTTATATGCGATTCAATAACATTGTGTGTGTGAAAAGTCCTTTATAAATAAAATGTAAATGCTTTACATATAGAAAAAATTAAAAAAAATTATCGCGTTGAAAAACGTTATTGTAATATTTATAAATACGTACATTGAAAACGTAAAATGTTTTTACTTTTAATTTTTTAAATTTCTGAATTTTTTTACTTAAAAATGATGAAGCAAAACAAGTAGATTTCATAACAGCGTTGCTAAAGTACAAAGATAACCAGACTTATGGGTAGATTTTATTATACTTTTTTAAAGTGTTTTATTTTAAAAAAATAAAAACCACAGTAGTTTTGATGCAAACCACAGTAGTAAAGATTGATTTTCGTTTCATCAATGATCCCTTGAAAATAAATAATTTTTATATATTAAATACTACGTAGCTCTCAATTTCCTTCAAAAAATACCAATTAGTAATCAAACATTATCAGATGTGTTTCCAGTAAAAATCAAGCTTTAGTTTCCTAATTTGAATGTATGATCGAGTTAGGCTGATCCTCGCCAAAATCAATCCTTTATCACCATTGCGCTATTAAATATAATAACATCGCCAAATAAAATTAAAAGTTTTCAGTAATATTCAAGCATTGATTTCCTCATCTAAATGCAGAACCGATTCACAATGACCTTTGCCAAAAGCAATCTTTCATCGCCAAAGAGATATTAGATATAACAATATCGCCAATGTGATATGTTTTTGTAGTGAGAAATATTAAATAATATTAAACTCTTTTATTTTCATAATAAAGCACTTGTTGCAAAACATAAGCAATCGAAAAGTAAAATAATTCTTTGATTTGAGATTTTCTTTGTGCGAGTAGTTTGTATTCTAAACTTTTAATTGGTTCAACAGTTGATTAATTATTATTGTTGTTTTTATTTCTAATGGGCTGTGGATCGGTGTTTTATCTAGCAAACCTAGTACATTCTCCGGAACCTGGTATCTCTTTCTAGAGCGGCACCATACAGGCGGATACCAATCGTTGTAGGTAGTTTGATGCCCATTTTCCTTCCTAGAGAGAGGCACCTGAACACTGACGATGCAAACCTGTAATAGGATTTAATTTTACCGAGAGCACCCAAGCCAAAAAACACTGTAGGGATCTTTTACATGCTGTATAATCATACGACATAGCTACTGTCGATTTTCTGCATGATTGATTATTGTTTGGATAGTCAAAAAATACGTAATTTATTTTTCTTATGTGACATAATATACTGTAATGTAACTTGATCGTCAATGAGCTAAATTCATGATGGTCACGTGATAAATGTAATCATGTTTTCTGTTGAATTCAAAGTTGACGTTAGATACGATTTCGAACTTAATAATGGGTTAAATTCATGACGGTCACATGATAAAAACAAGCACGCATTCTCCATTGAATTCAAAGCTGACATTAAACTAACTTGTACTTGTTGTTCTATTTGTAAAACTTAGAAGAAATTTCATATTTCATCATTGGGTAAAGATGTTCAATTTTTTTAAAAACAATTTCATCAAAAGATTTCAAATTTTTAAAAAAATCGTATTTTGTGCATGCATTTTAAAAAACCTATTTTCTGTATACCTATGTGCGTTTTTATTTTTGGCAAATATATACTTTTTAAGAGAAAGTTTCTGCAAAGAGCTTAAGTTGGCAACAACGAATCGCATGAATTAATTAGCTGGAAACACATGATTGCGTTTATTGTGTGATTATGACGTCAAATGAGTTTTTGAACTAACTGGGTAGAAACATGTGGTTGTCGTTATCATGTAATTTATGGCGTCACATGAATTTAGTCCGCTGCGTAAGGATGTTCAAGTATTAAAATTCTTCTAATTAAAAAAATTGTGAAATTCTTTTTACTTTTTAAAAATTAATTGTATTTTCTTTATTTATTATCGCGAACAAATGTATTTCTCTCTGTATAAAAAAAGTTTTTCGTGATGCTGCACTAAATTTAATACGTATTATCGCAACAATGCCGACCTTTAGGATAATTCCACCCAGTTGGCAACCCCGATTTCGCATATGTCATACGTGCTGAATTGGCAGCCATGTACACCATTTCATACTCGTATAATGTTGCCAATACGGTTGCGACAGTACATTATTGCAAGCTCTCGCATAAAAATATCGCAACGATTGCTTGGACTGGAATTGTTGAGGAGAAGAAAGACGTT